GGGTTTAGGGTTTAGGATCCGGGGCTTAGGGTTTAGGGTTTTGGGCTTTGGGGCTTCCGATCTGAGGTGTAGGGCTTTGGATTTTATACGGGTTTATACACCTTAGACCCAAAGCTGAGACCCTAGACCCTAAACCCCAAACCCTAAAGCTTGATCCCGGACCCCACCAAAAAACAAGCCCCGAACCCCCCTCCCCCCGAACCCTAAACCCTAAACCCTAAACCAAAACCGTAAACCCCCAAGAAGGCTCCTCACCCTTCTTCTGCTTATAAAACTCGAAAGCCGTGTCCTGGGCGCTCAGGAGTCTCTGTGCTTTCTGAAGGGTTTAGAGTTTAGCCTATGGGGTTGCGGGTTTAGGGTTTAGGGTTGAGGGTTTTTCAATGATTGAAACTGGTATATTGTTTTGTTCCTGCAGTATCCAACTCTGAAGACTATGTCATAGCAGAGCCATGAGAACGAGGCTAACGAACAGCCTGGGGTCGATGAAGTTGTCGACTTTCGCCCGTGCCTTGGGCCCGCGTGCACGCAGCTCGAAGACGAAGTTCCCTGGGCTTCGGAGGCTAAACCCCTAAACCCTAAGCCACTGAACCCGTAAACCCCGAAGCCCTAAACCGTAGGATTTTGGAGTCCAGGAGTTTTGGAGTTTGGAGTGTTGGGACCCAGGGGTCTGGGGTTCGGGGTCTAGGGTTTAGGGTTTGGGGCTTAGGGTTTTGGGGCTTGGGGCTTAGGGTTTAGGGTTTGGGGCTAACGGTTTAGGGTTTGGGGTTTGGGGTTGGGGTTAAGAGTTTAGGGTTTGGGGTTTAGGGTTTAGGGTTTGTTGGTTTCGAGCGAAGGTTTCGAAGTTAGATGTTGGAGGCTCGGGATTAAGGTTGACAACTTCGGGACGAGCCCTGAAATCCCACAAGCAGTTGTCCTGGAAAGCTTCCGGGCCTCATGATCCCTTGAACCCTCTAAGCCTCAGAAGCAGCACACCATGTCCTAATCCTAAACCCTAAACCCAGCCCTAAACCCTAAATATACCGTAAACCCCAAATATACCCGAAACCCTAATCCTAGACCCTAAACTACAAACCCTAGTCCCAAAATACATAATCGAAGCCTACGTCCCCTGAGTCGAAAACCTGAGGCACTACGTCTCAAAGAACGGAAACCCTAGATGCCACCATAAGGGTGCCGTACTATATTGGGGTGGTAAATTTCAATATTAACCGAGATTTCAAGAAATGAACATTTGGAGCTGAAAATCTAGTCCCCAATTAAGAGAACTACCCACATTCCAGGAAATACGAAGGTAGCTTTGGTTTTATAGGGTTTAGGGTTTCTAGTCCTAGGCCAGCCACCCTTCTAAATTCTAGCTAACACCAGAATGCCATGAACCACCCAAGTGACAACTAGGTGGCTCCGAAAACTACCAAGTAGTTACGGCTCTTCCGAACCCCGAATCCGCAAGAAGTACCCCTTTAGTAATCTTTCAGCAGAGCGGCGGACGCTAATTCGACCTTGTCCTTCGCCTTCGAGACGGGGTTCGGTGGGGGGGACTCTAAGTAAGATTTCGCGCAGGATGTCAAGTTTAAGATAACCGTCGTAGGGTTCAGGGCAACTGACACGACGAGGCTGCAACCAAGCACTGTTTAATTATCATCTGACATGCGGCTCCAGGACTGTTATGGACAGATCTGGTCAGGAAATGATGCCACTTATGAGCACCTGAGCAGTGGCGGCAATATGGGCCGCACGTCACTGACTCATCGACAACCACTTAAAAGCCATCAGGAGCCTGCACACCGTCTGTCCTGATGATGATACGATATGATACGACTCAAAATCACGCCCATGGGCTCCCTTGTCGGGATAACACCGATGGGCTTCACTGCCTCCCCTCCCACTCACAAGCACCCGTCTGACCCCGACTCTTCACTTGACGACGACTTGGGGTCATTGCCACTGAACGCGTAGGCCTTCGGCGGAGAATGCGAATGCATGTCGTAGCCGACCTTCTCAATGTTCTCACCAATACGAAGAAGCCCCGAAAACTTCAGGACCAGGAAGGACAGCGTGGAGAGCGTCCCTGCCCATGCGATGATAGCCAGGATCATGACAATCTGTGCTCCAATCGCGGCGCCTCCCAAGCCGCTGCGGCATGCACCATCGTCGCCGGCCATGCAGCCGAAACCGCTCCAGCCGTGGTAGTGGTCAAAGCCCTTCCCCCAATCGAAGAGACCGGCGGCGAGAAGCCCCCACACACCACAGGCTCCGTGCACTGCGCTGGCATCCACGGGGTCGTCAATCTTCAGTCTCACAAGGAGACTTGACGCCGCCTGGTAGAAAAAGGCACCAATGAAGCCGGTGAGAACAGCGCTGCCGCACTCCATGTTTCCACACCCCGCCGTGATGGACACCAAGCCCGAAAGAATGCCGTTGCAGAGGGCGCCGACATCGTACTTGCGCACGAGCACGAACTTCAGCAAGAACACTGTGATCCCACAAGTGGCGGCGGAGAGAGTGGTGTTCATGGCCACCTGTGCTGCAAGGGCACCCATCTCCTTGTCATGCATCGAGAGAGTGGAGCCTGGGTTGAAGCCATACCAACCGAACCAGAGTGCGAAGGTTCCGAGCACGACCCTTAGTTGTTCTTTCCTTTGACGCCTCGCACAACACATACTCTCATACATTTGTATTTGTAAACAAATTAAGCAATGGCACACATACAAACCGCACATCATTATCTTGGGGCCGCGGGTAAAAAGTGCCAGCGGGTCTCAATGGGACGTTGTGGTACTCGAACTCCTCGGGGTTCTCGAAGCGTCCCCTCCGCGGACCGAGGATGATAGTGCCAGCGAGGCCGCAAACGCCTCCCGTGAAATGGACAACACCTGTAGGGGCCGAAAAAGGCATCTACCTAGACCCTTAAATGTAGTACCGTTTATTGGATGGCCTATTTTATGGTTAGGATCCTATAATAAGAAACTAAGGTAACCAAAAAAAGTACTACATTTAAGCGTCTAGGTAGACTCACTCTTCTTCGGTAACATCCCTTTCAAGGGGTAGCTTTCAATGTTTATGCTTTGGTCTTAGGGTGCTTCACTTTCGGCCCTCAGCCTGAGCCGGCGAAATCCATATATCCCACGTCGAAGATGCTGGCGAGCCAGCCGCCGCCCCAGGTCCATGCCACCACGACCGGGTAGATAAACGAGGTCATGCAGAAGGCGAAGAAAGCATAGGTGGGACTCTTGACACGCTCCGCCACGCATCCACTCACGATGGTGGCTCCTGGGCTCAAACACGAATGCACGCTGGTCAATCTACAGGGCAAACACGTGCATGAGAACCTACGGCCATTTCCGAAAGAAGGACATGATAGGACACTTCAACTGAGGTTGGTGCCAGCTGTGCAGAAGGCCTAGGCTGTTCCGTGACCCACGGGGAAGAGTACATACTGTGATGGGGGGGTCCTATTATACAAAAGCACGAAACACATGCCACTGAACATCCTAGAGGCCCACTGGAAGAACCAACTGAGCATCGTAGACTGGCAGTTCCCGTCCTCACACTCCACCGGGACGATATTGCCAGATGCATCTTTGGTGTAGAAACCCAGGCCGAAGAAGCCATCCGTGCCAATGAAAGATCCGGCTTGAGAGCCATAGGCAAGGGCCCAGCCAAACATCCACCAACCCAATGTGCCAACGCTCACCTGGGTTGTAGTTTCGGGCCCCCAAAAAAATATTTATGAACAGGTATACCTCTCTGTCTATAGGAGCCATAAGGGAAATTAAAAAGCTTCCCAAAGTGCCACCTAGTCACATTGACCAAATTCTTCATCAGGACGTTCGAGGCATTCTTGGCACGGCAGCAGCCGGTCTCCAACATTGCGAACCCTGCATGCATGAACATGACCAAAGCCCCACAAAGGACCAGCCAAGCCGAATCCATAGCACCAGCCATACTCTCCTGGGTTTCGGTCATCTGCTTCAGCTCCTTTCGCTGCTCCTCCAACAGCGCCTTTTGGGCCTGCAGCTCACGAAGGAGCTCCGCCGGAGAGTCTTGCGACATCGCTGTCGCGGCGAAGGCGGCAGCAAGAGCAGCTGCGAGACAAACCTTCATGCTCAGGACGCGAGTTGCCACTTGGCTCTTCTAACTGCTTGCTGTGGGCAAAACTGGCTGCAGCAACAAGGAAGGACTGAAGGTTTGGGCTTACTCTGGTCGGTACAAGCAAAGAGGTCTGAAGGCAGGAACCTGCCAGACCTATGACTGCGTCCGGGCCTTCTTCTGAAACGTCCAGTGACTGTCGGAAGTAGAGGCTGGGATGCGCATCATCAACAGCAATCCAGTGATCCTTCTTTGGCAGCCGGTTGACGGAGTATGCCAATAGCTGCTTGTAGCCTGTTGAGGCCAGACACTTGGCAATTCTGCAAGAAGGGCAACACGTGGCGCGAACAACACCAACAGTATCGGAAAGCTACTGAAGTGCCGCATAGTCTCTGCCACTGAAGAGGCACACATCCCCGTACTGATCCTTTTCTAGCTTGATCTCCTTCTGCGGAAGGAGGAACACTTCAGCGTCGTCGATTTCCAGCGAACATTTCTCTTGCAAGTAAATCTTGATAGCTTTCTGCAAGATGTTGTTGCCTGAGTTGTAGTTCTGGGGCCCTGAAAAGTATTTCTGAATAGGCACCTCTATAGGAACCATAACGGAAATTTTTAAGTTTCCCAAAGTGCCACCTAGTTGCGCGAAGAGGTATCCAGAGCAGTCCGGTCGTCACCGATGTAGCGTTGGCCCCGGTCCTGCAGCGACCCAAACGCCCCCGGTTTAGGGTTTAGGGTTTAGGGGTTTGGGGTTTAGGGTTTAGGGGTTTAGGGGTTTAGGGTTGTTTTTTGTTTACATGCAGTGGCCCTTTTCCTCCTGTCCAGCAGTCAGTCGAAGGCGGGTTTAGGGTTTAGGGTTTAGGGCATGCAAAAAGATCGTAATATAGGTAATATAGGGGCCTAAATAGCTACCTATACCATCTTGGTAGATTCCTTGTTATAAGTCTAGTATAATATGCCCCCCAATAACCCCTTTTTTTAACTGTTAAGGCCCCTGCATTCACTTCTTCATTCTTTTAAAATAGGAACCCAAGACCCTAAGCCTCGAGGATCTCTGCCTAGGGCATGGAGACTGCAGAGATAGGGCGTGGGGTCTAGGGTTTAAGGGTTTTGGGCTTCTTTTTCTAAGAGGGTTTAGAGTTTAGGTTTTTTTTTTAAATGGGGTTTAGGGTTAAGGGTGTGTTTTTTTTATGGGGTTTAGGGTTTAAGGTTGTTTAAAAAATGGGTTAAAAAATGGGTTTAGGGTGTAGGGCTTTTTTTGTAATAGGGTTCAGGGTTTGGGGTCCGGTCCCGTGTCCTCGTACTCGATACGTCGAATGTACGTTTTTGTGCCCGTGATGAAGTCATACCTTGCACCACAGGCTCAAGCACAGGGAAGAAAGGATAGGGCTTAGGGTTTTGGGTTTAGGGTTACAAGAGCCCGAATTCCGCCCGAATCGTCCACAACCCCTTCAATGGCACCACAATCCAAAACATGTGATGCTGCCGAGATAATGAGGGGGGCGACGTCCGTGGCCAAACACTAAGATGACGACTATGATGCAGAGGAGGGCGGCAATGATCAAGCGACATGAATAGTAATCACAACAGTAAGCAGTCACTCTGTGGTACTTAAGAATAATAATCAGAATAATAACCATCACAAATAATAATGAACAGTAGCAATACATAATAGCATTAAGACGAATACTAATATTTAACAATAAGAATGCGAAAAATATTAACAAATCAACAATAATCGTAACAGCAGCCGCGACAACGAAAACAATAAAGATAATCTAAACATGCTGCTGAAGCTGATGTTGGACAACGTAGAGGACGGGGGAGGAAAAAAGCAGAGACGGGATACACCCTAACCCACAAACGTCCCTAGACATGTAGCCGCGGAGCACATAGCGTGCAGAATCGATGAACTTCGTGCTCAGCGGATCGGAGGTGTTCTGCCCCAGTAGGAAGCTAAAGAGGACCGGGATGAGCATGCAGATTAACACGTCCAGGATCCTCCCAGCTCAAAGGCAGAAGTTTTGGGGGTGCAGGTTCGGGGTAGGCTTTGGGGTTTAGTGTTTAGGGCTTCGGGCTTAGGGTTTAGCGCTTAGGGCTTAGGGTTTAGGGCTTAGGGGCTAGAGCAAACCTGAAAGACACGATGCGCAGACACCTGCAAACCAGGGGCCCGATACCTTAGACCCCGAACTAAAAATCGAAGCCTCCAAGACCCTAAACCATAAGCACCCTAAACCCTAAACTCTAAAACCCTACGCCCTAAACTCTAACCCTAAGCGCCTGATTAGCCTAGAGCCTAAGCCCCTGAGCCCCCTCCCTGAACCCCGAAACCCTTAAACTCCTGAACCCTAAACCCTAAGTCCCCTAGGGTCGAAACGCTACCCCCCTAAACTTAGACCCTAACCCCCTAGCCCCTAAACCCTAAACCACTTAAAGGAACCCTTAGAAGGAACCCATGGAGCAAAGGATTCGAGCCGAAGACGTGTAACTTAGAATTCTGACTTCTAGCCTTTTAGGGTTTAGGCTTTGGGGTTAAGGGTTTACGGGCTTAAGGGCTTAGGGGCTTTGGGTTTAGGGTTTAGGGGTTTAGGGGTTAAGGGGCTTAGGGGCTTACGGTTTCGGGGCTTCTGACTCCTGGCCTTGGAGGGCTCCGGGGGTTTCCAGAGACTCCAATATCCCTTAATTAAGGAATATACCTTAAATTATAATAGGAACCCTAATAGGATTTAAGGTATATTCCTTAATTAAGGGATCTTGGAGTCTCTGGATTGGAGTCTCTGGGTTTCGGGCTTCTGAGTCTTAGCCTCCAAAGGGAAGCCTGCACCCTGCAATGCTGGCAGCCTGGCGGTTTAGGCTTGAGGTTTAGGAACCCTAAACCCTAAACCTCAAACCCAAAACCCTAAGCCCTAAAAACTAAACTCTAAACCCTAAAACCCTAAACCCATTCACAGGCTTCTGGTTAAAACTTGAAAAGACAACAACTCTTAAATCCCAAACCACGTGAAAATGCCCGCATGAACCTCAAAGAGACGCCGCGTAAACTGTGTGGGACACACTTGGAGGTCGGGGGACTTAGGAAGTAGGAAACAAGTCCAGCTGTAAGTACCCTAAAATGTGATCCTAATTGGGGCTATGGTCTTGATAACTCCACAAAATCACTACTTACCAAGTCCCCCGACCCTCTATATAAGCAGGAGCCCCTGCTCCTTCAAGCCTAAAAAGTTAACCCTCAAACCTGAACTCTCAAAATTGGAGCCCCAGTCCTCCACGCCCCCAAACACTAAACGCCAAACTCTCAACACATAGGAACCCAAACTCATGTCAGCCCCAAACCCCGAACTTTAAACCCTCAACATAGGAGCGCCTGCATGTTCAAGCGCCCCTCACCATATACCATATTATAAAATGGCCTAGTATACTATACTATAATCTACCCTAGTATCTTATAGTTTATAGTAGTTACACAGAAACCCTCAAAAATCCTAAACCCTAACCCCTAAACCATTGTAGTATATATACCCCTGAAGAAGGCCAAGGGACGGGTTGCCCGTTCGCAGAGCTTGCATCATTCCGAAGTTGAGGCCGCTGGACCTCCGAGGTCTAGGTGTCTCAGTGTTAGGGTTTATGGGGGCTTTAGGGTTTAGGGCTCAGGGATTTTACGTTTTAGGGTTGGTTTGGGGCTTAGGGGTTTTAGGGTTTAGGGCTTAGGGGTTTTAGGGTTTGGGGTTCAGGGATTCAGAGGTTTAAGGGGTTAGGGGATTAGGGGTTTAGGGTTTAGGGGTTTAGGGTTTAGGGTTTAGGAGACAGTAATTCTATCCCTTTGTATTGGCGACAACAAGGGATCTGGAAGCTTGGTATCATGTGGAGGGCTCAGGGTTGAGGAGCGTAATGCAGGGGCCTTCATAATTAGAATAGAGTCTTGGGGTATATACACTGTAGTATAGATATAATAAGAGACCCCCAACATAGTATTGGTAGTTATTCAAGCCCCTATTTCAGGGGCTCAGGGCTTAAAGTTTAGGGCATCAGGGTTCCGGCTTTCGGTGGTTAGTGCTTGGAGGCTTCCCGGTTTGGGGGGGTTTGCTTTACTAACTACTCTAGGGGCCTTGCTAACTGGAATAACGGCTTTGGGCTCCTTTATAGTATATCTATAATAAG